GTAGTACAGACACCTAGAAGGAGGACAGCGACGTGGTGATCTACTTGATATGCAGTTTCCAAAGATGTCAGATAATGCTGTTCTGAGCCTGGATGAGTAGCGCGGGACGGCGAGTGCATGACGGTGTAAAGTGACGATGAATGAACATGTAGAGCAACATAAGAAGCAGGCGGGAAGACAGTGAATAATGATGGATGGAGACTTCAGTAACGAGAACGAGTCTTGCCACTTCACATACGTCGTTAAATGAGAGTACATCTCACACAGAAGCTGTACTAGCATACGCGCAAGTACGACATCGAGGATCTCCATGTGACTCATGCAGCTTGAGAGCACCAACACTGCTTCCACTGCCTAGCAGTTAAACTGACCACATCCACTCAGTCTGTGCATCTCATTGTTCTCCGTATCTAATCTTTCTATTCTTCCAATCATCTCCGTCGAAATCTCCGTGAAAAAAGATGCCGTCAAATTTCAGTCCGGATGCAGCGGGAACGACTACCCCACACAGGTAACAACCGGCATCCTCATATCTCACGCGATAGCTATTCTGTACGGGCAAGTGAGAAATAGGCAAGTGTTGCAACATTGCAACAAGTTCTGGAGCTCCACTACTAGCATGGGTAGTACAGACACCTAGACGGAGGGCAGCGACGTGGTGATCTACTTGATATGCAGTTTCCAAAGATGTCAGATAATGTTGTTCTGAGCCTGGATGAGTAGCGCGGGACGGCGAGTGCATGACGTTGTAAAGTGACGATGAATGAACATGTAGAGCAACATAAGAAGCAGGCGGGAGGACAGTGAATAATGATGGATGGAGACTTCAGTAACGAGAACGAGTCTTGCCACTTCACATACGTCGTTAAATGAGAGTACATCTCACACAGAAGCTGTACTAGCATACGCGCAAGTACGACATCGAGGATCTCCATGTGACTCATGCAGCTTGAGAGCACCAACACTGCTTCCCCTGCCTAGCAGTTAAACTGACCACATCCACTCAGTCTGTGCATCTCATTGTTCTCCGTATCTAATCTTTCTATTCTTCCAATCATCTCCGGCGAAATCTCCGTGAAAAAAGATGCCGTCAAATTTCAGTCCGGATGGAGCGGGAACGACTACCCCGCAAAGGTAATAACCGGCATCCTCATATCTTACGCGACAGCTCTTCTGTACGGGCAAGTGAGAAATAGGCAAGTGTTGCAACATTGCAACAAGTTCGGGAGCTCCACTACTAGCATGGGTAGTACAGACACCTAGAAGGAGGACAGCGACGTGGTGATCTACTTGATATGCAGTTTCCAAAGATGTCAGAAAATGTTGTTCTGAGCCTGGATGAGTAGCGCGGGACGGCGAGTGCATGACGGTGTAAAGTGACGATGAATGAACATGTAGAGCAACATAAGAAGCAGGCGGGAAGACAGTGAATAATGATGGATGGAGACTTCAGTAACGAGAACGAGTCTTGCCACTTCACATACGTCGTTAAATGAGAGTACACCTCACACAGAAGCTGTACTAGCATACGCGCAAGTACGACATCGAAGATCTCCATGTGACTCATGCAGCTTGAGAGCACCAACACTGCTTCCCCTGCCTAGCAGTTAAACTGACCACATCCACTCAGTCTGTGCATCTCATTGTTCTCCGTATCTAATCTTTCTATTCTTCCAATCATCTCCGGCGAAATCTCCGTGAAAAAAGATGCCGTCAAATTTCAGTCCGGATGCAGCGGGAACGACTACCCCACACAGGTAACAACCGGCATCCTCATATCTTACGCGATAGCTATTCTGTACGGGCAAGTGAGAAATAGGCAAGTGTTGCAACATTGCAACAAGTTCGGGAGCTCCACTACTAGCATGGGTAGTACAGACACCTAGACGGAGGGCAGCGACGTGGTGATCTACTTGATATGCAGTTTCCAAAGATGTCAGATAATGTTGTTCTGAGCCTGGATGAGTAGCGCGGGACGGCGAGTGCATGACGGTGTAAGGTGACGATGAATGAACATGTAGAGCAACTTAAGAAGCAGGCGGGAGGACAGTGAATAATGATGGATGGAGACTTCAGTAACGAGAACGAGTCTTGCCACTTCACATACGTCGTTAAATGAGAGTACACATCACACAGAAGCTGTACTAGCATACGCGCAAGTACGACATCGAGGATCTCCATGTGACTCATGCAGCTTGAGAGCACCAACACTGCTACCCCTGCCTAGCAGTTAAACTGACCACATCCACTCAGTCTGTGCATCTCATTGTTCTCCGTATCTAATCTTTCTATTCTTCCAATCATCTCCGGCGAAATCTCCGTGAAAAAAGATGCCGTCAAATTTCAGTCCGGATGCAGCGGGAAAGACTACCCCACACAGTCATAAATCGGCATCCTCATATCTCACGCGATAGCTATTCTGTACGGATAAGTGAGAAATAGGCAAGTGCTGCAACATTGCAACAAGTTCGGGAGCTCCACTACTAGCATGGGTAGTACAGACACCTAGAAGGAGGGCAACGACGTGGTGATCTACTTGATATGCAGTTTCGAAAGATGTCAGATAATGTTGTTCTGAGCCTGGATGAGTAGCGCGGGACGGCGAGTGCATGACGTTGTAAAGTGACGATGAATGAACATGTAGAGCAACATAAGAAGCAGGCGGGAGGACAGTGAATAATGATGGATGGAGACTTCAGTAACGAGAACGAGTCTTGCCACTTCACATACGTCGTTAAATGAGAGTACACCTCACACAGAAGCTGTACTAGCATACGCGCAAGTACGACATCGAGGATCTCCATGTGACTCATGCAGCTTGAGAGCACCAACACTGCTTCCTCTGCCCAGCAGTTATACTGACCACATCCACTCATTCTGTGCATCTCATTGTTCTCCGTATCTAATCTTTCTATTCTTCCAATCATCTCCGGCGAAATCTCCGTGAAAAAAGATGCCGTCAAATTTCAGTCCGGATGGAGCGGGAACGACTACCCCACACAGTCATAAATCGGCATCCTCATATCTCACGCGACAGCTCTTCTGTACGGACAAGTGAGAAATAGGCAAGTGTTGCAACATTGCAACAAGTTCTGGAGCTCCACTACTAGCATGGGTAGTACAGACACCTAGACGGAGTACAACGACGTGGTGATCTACTTGATATGCAGTTTCCAAAGATGTCAGATAATGTTGTTCTGAGCCTGGATGAGTAGCGCGGGACGGCGAGTGCATGACGTTGTAAAGTGACGATGAATGAACATGTAGAGCAACATAAGAAGAAGGCGGGAGGACAGTGAATAATGATGGATGGAGACTTCAGTAACGAGAACGAGTCTTGCCACTTCACATACGTCGTTAAATGAGAGTACATCTCACACAGAAGCTGTACTAGCATACGCGCAAGTACGACATCGAGGATCTCCATGTGACTCATGCAGCTTGAGAGCACCAACACTGCTTCCTCTGCCCAGCAGTTAAACCGAACACATCCACTCATTCTGTGCATCTCATTGTTCTCCGTATCTAATCTTTCTATTCTTCCAATCATCTCCGGCGAAATCTCCGTGAAAAACGATGCCGTCAAATTTCAGTCCGGATGGAGCGGGAACGACTACCCCACACAGTCATAAATCGGCATCCTCATATCTCACGCGACAGCTCTTCTGTACGGACAAGTGAGAAATAGGCAAGTGTTGCAACATTGCAACAAGTTCGGGAGCTCCACTACTAGCATGGGTAGTACAGACACCTAGACGGAGGGCAGCGACGTGGTGATCTACTTGATATGCAGTTTCCAAAGATGTCAGATAATGTTGTTCTGAGCCTGGATGAGTAGCGCGGGACGGCGAGTACATGACGGTGTAAAGTGACGATGAATGAACATGTAGAGCAACTTAAGAAGCAGGCGGGAGGACAGTGAATAATGATGGATGGAGACTTCAGTAACGAGAACGAGTCTTGCCACTTCACATACGTCGTTAAATGAGAGTACACCTCACACAGAAGCTGTACTAGCATACGCGCAAGTACGACATCGAGGATCTCCATGTGACTCATGCAGCTTGAGAGCACCAACACTGCTTCCTCTACCCAGCAGTTAAACCGAACACATCCACTCAGTCTGTGCATCTCATTGTTCTCCGTATCTAATCTTTCTATCCTTCCAATCGCCTCCGGCGAAATCTCCGTGAAAAACGATGCCGTCAAATTTCAGTCCGAATGGAGCGGGAACGACTACCCCGCACAGACATAAGCCGGCATCCCTTAATCTCGCGCGACTCTTCAATTTGCTTCCTATTGATAAAGTGGACCGAGACAAGCCCAAGGTTGCTCATCCACCTTGTTCGACAGCCAGCATTCGCTCCCGCCATCCATCTAGGGTCGTGTGAGCCCCAACCTTAAGCCACCGACCCTCCCGCTACTTAGACATTTAGTCGCCTCAGGTTTTTACTGTAAGCGCATCCTTGCTAAGCGACTCTAGTTTGCGCTAAGTCTTTTCCGACAGGATTTAAATGTGTTGACTGTTACTACTTTTGTGGCACGATGTTAACATCGAGAGGCGTTAGTTCTTACACGTTTCCGGACGCTAGGCCGAACGGGCGTTGTCGTTAAAAATTTCAGTCTACGTGGAGTGGGGAGAACACGGTAGTAGGCTGTAAGATCACTTAGGTCCGGAGGTTTAGGTACCTTTCGACCGGTGTTTGCTTAGGTGTCTCCGACACTAGAGCCACAGCACCCGTCTTCCTTGTTGTTCTTTACGGCTTTCGATTGCCTATTTTTTTGTTGCGCCTATCCCAGTATCCAGCGTTACTGCGGGTAATAGGGTGTAAAAAACAGTTAAAACTTCTCTATTTCAGCGCCTATCCCAGTATCCAGTTATTACTGCGGTATAAGGTTGTTACAGCGCGCCTTTCCCCTCTCTCCCTATCCCAGTATCTAGTTGATACTGCGGTATAGAGTTGGTACAGCGCACCTTTAACCCTGTTCTCCCTCTCCCAATGCGTAAGGTCAGTGGACCACAGCGTGATAGGAATCGGCGTCAGGCCTGGCAAAGAGCCGCTCCTCGAGTACAATTTTCTCGTCCGACCGATGCCGTCTTTGCTAAGGCCGAGGACGCCTTTTTACATCCCGATAGGGATGCCTTAGACAAGCGGTATGCCGCCCTTGCGGCCGTGCCTCAACAAGTCTCGACCGAGCTCTGTCTGCCTATGTGGGTACCTGCGCGCGAACTTTCAGCCACTTTTTCCGATACGGAAACCTTGACTTCGCTCGGCTCGGCGACCCAATAGCTTTTGTGGTCGAAGATTCTGGAGCTCTTAAGGGACTGTAAAACGATCCGTAATGCGGGTATCAGTTTTTTGTGTACCGATCGCGAGGTTTGTACGAAATTAGGCAGAGAAAGTGTGACAATTTGCGGTCGCACTTTTAAAGTCCAAACGTACTCAAAATACTCCCATTGGTACTACGTGGATTTGCAACACCTCCCCGACGACGTGTGGGATGGACTGATCTACGACTGGATTGCCCAGCGGGGCACTCGACCGGTGTATATTACGCCGGCTCAAGTTATCGGCGGTCTTCGTTCTCGCAACCGCCGGGTGTACTTCAGCCAAAAGGCCCCTCCACCATCGGTGATGCTAGAAAAGGGCACCCCTCTCCGCCAGATCCAATTTACGGGTCAAGGATTCGCAGTAGTTCACCATAGGCTGAGTGCCTATAATCGAACGGTCCCGCCTTTTATAGCGGCACTGCGTGCTTCGGCCAAACCGGTTAAGGCTTCTTCGCCTCCTCCAGCCTCTACGCCTGCTGCGACTACCGACGCACTACCAGCTTTCGACAACGAAAGCGATTCAGGTGAAGCGACGGAATGATTGACGATTTTGGTACAGAACGTGAGCCAATTATTGGAGATCATTCTGTATCGGAAACCAATAATTTGTTGCTATGGAAGAAATGAGTCGTCCGTTGCGGTTCGCCCCAAATCTATTTGGCCCACTGAAAGGGCACCCATTTTTCATGTTGGCTGTATTTATCGCGACGCCTTTTCGCCTGCCCGTCTCAAACGAGAGAAAATGTTCATTTGTGGTCCTATTGCGGAACCGGAGGTAGATGTTGAGGTGCTCTGCATCCCACCCTACCAATTGGACTGCCCATTTTTGTGTTCGGTCAATTCCTACGAATGGATAAGCGAAGGGTCTTGTGGCTTCATTCCTGATGGTCAAGACGCAGTACTATGGGACCGATCGCAGGATCCTACACGTTCAGTCAGATCCTTCGTTAAGTTGGCCGAGCCTTCAGAATATATATTGAATTCGCCGGTCTACCAAGGTTCAGTGGAGGCGCTAACGCTCAAGGAGCTTTGTGCTGTTATCGACGTTTTTTGAAGTCCTTCAACTCGACCCACGATCCTGACTCTGTTGTGGCTTCAGTTCAGAATTAACTCAGTCTGCTGCGCCTGCTGCTCGACACCAAGGCAGCCAGTAATTTCCAATTTCTTCGTGCTAGAGTTATTGGTCATGCCGTGCTTTGGGTATCTGCAAATCGGCCTTACCCATCGACCGATGATGGGTCTCTCTTACAAAGACTTGGGACTTTATATCCTGCCAAGACGGACTTTGACTTCCAGTCGGTTCTCAGTCAATTTTTTTCCGATCAAGACGCGTGTTGGGGGGAAACATGGCTAGCCGAGTTTGATCTGGTAATGCAGATTATTGCTCCCAGTATCTACATGGATCCAATCAAAATGGGTACCTTATTTGGGCGAGCAGCATCGGCACTGCCCCCCTACTGTGGCTACTATGGGACGATACGACCTTGGCGGCCTTATTGCTTTCTCCACTTTTGGAGCAATAATAACTGGAGACATCCCTGTAGACCTTCGACAAACTATTGACTTCCTACGGGAGAGGACCACCGAAGTAATGCCCCAAATTACGCCTTCTCTCAAATGAGGTTTGGGCCCTTCGGGGATACTCTGTAAACGTTATTAGTTCTAATACTGTGACATTATCGACACTCAACTACTTTCTAAATAATTTCACCTCGTGGGACCCCAAGAGACCCGCTTCACCAATGTAAAGCGCTTTAAGCGGGCAAGACATACCTGGCAGACTATTTCCCAATTAAACTCAAGTTTTTGGTCTTAAGACAATATGGACTCCTTCACTGGTCTGGAGGGTGCAAGTCTTCTCATCACGCCTTCTTGTCCAGTCCGCGACCTTGACGACGTTTCGCTCCGCTATGCAAGCTGTTCCGATCTTTTATCGAGGTATTTGCTGGTGCGAGGCACAGTTGGTAAAGTTGTTACCTATATCCATGTAGTGTGTGCGCTCTTTCAGCCTCGGCAGCGTCCGCTCTTCTTTGATATCCTCCCACGCAATATTGAAGACAAAGCTCATCATATCGTTATGGGCGACTTTTACACGGTCCTCTCCAGTCAACTAGACCAAGCTCGATCGCACGACCGGGCTCGTCGACAAGGTCGTGATGAATTACTCGACTGGATGACATCCATACGGTTAGTCTACACATGGCGACTTCAAGATCTAGATGTCCAAGTCTCTACCAGTCCCACTGGTACGTCGCGAATTGACTATGTCTTTGTGGACTATCATCTATTTCGCTCGGCATTGCAAGAAGTTTTCCATGATTTCCGAGCCAAGTCTTGAATAGGCGATCGTATCGGTCTATCTTTTCGTCTTGGTCTTACTGGCTTTAAGCCTATTGGACGATCCCCTTAGAATTGTCCTCCTTGGGTTATTTAACTTCCAGAGGCACTAGAGTATTTTTAAGCTTCACTTATCCAACTGGCCAAGTCATTCAATCCGAATGTCTGGCCTTACAACCCAGGCTTTCTTCTAGATGAGCAAAAAAGGAAGGACTCTAAATTTCTTTGGGGACTTTTCGAGCCAAGAAAAATGAGCGCCAACGAGAAATTGAAGACCTTCACCTTGAAGTGAACCGACTTCAACACCGGCAGGCTTGGATTCTTTGGTGGACATATTGGCTGATCGCTCTCGGGTTAGAGCTTCCCTTACCATTAAAATTAGGGGAATCTGCTTATTTCGCTTCCAAGCAAAAATTCGCCTCCGACCTCCAATCTACTGAGTGTTGCGCCAAGTATTTCTTTCGGCCGCCCCAAGTGCTCTACAAGACGCCTATTCCTGTGGACTCGGTCGAAGACCTGGAGCCAACCTGCACTTCCTTTAAAATTTATTGGTCTGGTATCTACTGTTCGCCGTCTAAGGAGTATGGGCATGCGAAACCCAATTGGGATTGCATGGGACTCTCCCAGCTATTACAGCACACAGCCACGCGGTTGACACCGGCGACACAGGCTTAATTGGACATCCCCTTCACAGCTAGTGATTTGTACTGGGCTTTTGAACGAACGGCGTCTGAAAGACGCCTGGTCCAGATGGCTTGCCCCTGGACTATTACCATGTCATTTTTTTCCTTTGGACCGTAAATTGGAGGTAATTTACGCTGCTCAGATTTGAAAGGGGAAAATGACCAATTTCCAACGGCGGGCCCAATTTGCGCTCCTTTACAAACATGGGGATCGGAAACTACCAATCAACTATCTTCCTATATCACTTTTCAATGTGGACGCCAAATTGAAACCCAGATTACTGGCACACAGACTAGGTCAGTTATTAGGCTCTCATCTTCACTCGGACCAATATGGTTTTGTTCCAGGGCGCGATATTCGCCACGCCCAGATTCGGTTCCAACCCTAAATCAAATCTATTTAATTACCGACACTCCAGCGGAAGCTACACTACTGGAATTTGCAAAGGCCTTTGATAGCGTCGTCTGGGATGCTTTGGATATGGTTCGAATGCACTCTGGGCTCGGACAGTATTTCGGAGATGGATTAAGTTTTTTTTAACGTACTTTGACTTACCTCAGGTTTAATGGGCACCTGTTGTCTCCGTTTGAACTGGGTGCCGGGGTACACCAAGGAGACCCTCCACCACCAGCGCTGTTTGTGCTCTTTATCGAGCCCTTACTCAACTTTCTTCGGGTCAAACTTCAAGACACGGGTCTACAAAGTGGATCTTCTACTCACTCGGTCATTAGCTACGCCGATGATTGCACTCGGATCTCGCCAGACCTCCGTCATATATAAGCCTTTCTCAATTTTGTGGAGGACTTTTGTTTGGCGACGGGCATGAGGCGTAATAAGACTAAGACTGTGGTGCTGCCATTTTTGCCCTGGTCTCCGTCTTCTGAGCCTTTACGCCTTAAACTGGGCCACTTAGGAGTTAACGTTATCGACACCTTTTAGCCGAGATTCAGGCGCGCTGTTCACTATGGTCAAATAGGGCACGCATACTACGCGGCCAAGTGGTGATTTTACAGCAGATCATTTTACCCATACTTTGGTATTCAGCCAGCGTCTGCCCTGTACCGGTAACTGGGTTTCAAAATCAAGTCAACACACTCATTTCGCGGTTTATCTGCAAAAAAAGTCGAGCATCGCCTTGTCAAAAGAGTGGGGGTTTATACCCCAGAGTCAAGGCGGCTTGGGTCTCACATCGATCAAGGACACGGTCCACAGTTTGCAACTTCAAATACTGTGCTAGTTTGTACTGGCTGCTACGGATCACGCTACTACTAAGTACCTACCTAGGCGCAGCCTTTTGTTCACTTTTTTATGAAGCCATTTCTCCCTAGGGAGAAATGGCGTCTATATTCGACAAGGTTACAACACCGCTATTGCACAATGTGTACATTACCTACAGTTCAAGTGGCCGCACCTTGGTCGGCTAAACAATGCGGCCAGAACTATATACCCTTTTGGCGGCTCATGGCGTTTTTCGACCAAGCGACTTATATCGAGCCTGCAGTCATATATTGACTTGTGATTACCCATCACTTTTTCTCCGAGCCATACACCCTGGCCGTACTACTGGCGTTGGGTCGTGCGCCAAAATTTTTGGCTCGCAAAAATAGCCTAATAGGTCCTTTACGTAATTTCCCTATTGGACCACGTTCAACCTCCAAGTACTTCGGTGCCTTTCCAAACTGGGTGTTTGACGCCTGTGCGTTGGCTGGAGTTGATGTGGCCCGAATTTGTTCTATTATTTCCAAGCCAGCTTCACCGGCATTGCCGTTAGCGCGCCTTGGTCTGATCGCGGACCCGCCGCCTACAATTTGGAGTCGCGACCTCAAATTGGGTAGGCAGCTACTTTTCGTTTATGCTGATCTGCTTTTTCGGCTCCAGCACAATGCGCATTTCCTTGGGTATCGGCTACAGCACCTTTCTGATGCCTCTAAACTATGT